TAAAATCAAGCTGCACTTCTGCTGCGGTTGCAGAAATTATTTGATCGATTTTTCTTGAATCAAGATACCCTTTACAAGGGAGAGGGGGTCCAAAGATGGTGTTTTTTTCTTCTTAATTCTTCTTAATTAGTTTATTTAACGTCGGTCTCTGTTCCGCAATCCTTGTTTACATTTCATGAAGCACCAACTTTGATCCCCCGCTCCCTTGCAGTATGTCAATTACGTCATTTATGCATCTAAAATGAGCATATCTGTGGAATAAATGCAGAATAACAGTGTACATTGATTGACAAAACGAGGTGCTGAAAAAAGTTCATTTCCTTCAATAGAGCGCACCTGTGTTCCATTTCCATGTATTGCTCTGATCTGAGTAACGAACTTATCAAGAGCTTTACACACCAAATTTCTTAAATTTTGATCGGTACTTTTTTTTTGCTGCATTCGTTCTATAAAATTTATGTTTTACCGAAAGTTTTGTAGATTGTGTTGTTTTACCATCTTTTCGTAATAAAAAATAATGAATTTCTGTAATTTACAGAAGTTTACCGCAAACTGTAAATAACAATTGCTGATCAAAACTGTAAATCCCTTCAATTCTGCAAAACTGTTAAAACTTTGCAAATTCTTTACTGTCAACCGAGCTGTCATCCTTAAACATTGCGGCCATTTAGGATGAGTGGTCTCCTGTTCTCCGGTGTGAATAGTAAGTACTTAACTTTTTCTTTTACATTTCCCGTATACTCTACACTGAACGGAACATTATTTCACTACTAATTCTCTCTTAGGCAAACCGCTTCCAGCTATTGATGCTAACTGCATAAGCAACAAAATGTCCTCCTCAGCTGAAAAAAAAAACAAAGTGTGCGCATGTTTTCATCAGACCAAGTTTACCGTCGATAACTTTGTCCGGGTTCTCACCTGAATACAATTGAAAATAAATTATTTTTCTGAGTGAAATGAATCATTCGATATATTATTTTATTATCAAAAGCGCAAAAAAAAAAGAAAACAATAAACGGTATTGTAAACATTACGAATTATTCAGCAAAATTTGCAATGCGGAATTCAGTAAATTTTGACAGTTCAAGCGCAAAGTTAAATTTACTGAATGTACTGTAAAACAACAAAAAATTACCGAACCGATTACCGAACGTTCTGCTGTTCTATATTCGCTGCCCCCCTCTGGCTACTCCTATGGTACATGTCCCTAACCTAAGCAGCCATCAATGGAGATTCTAATCGTATCTCAACAAATTTTGATTAACCTGCAGACAAAGTTTCACTGTCTTCATACGTTCTAATATAAGCTCATCATTTCCGTAACAATCGGACACGATAAGCAATTACAAAACGATCCATTATCACCTTAAAACTATTCTAGAACATGGATTTAATAGCGGCTTACTGTCCCCAGCTTAGGCTCATAAATGGATGTTACTTCGGCCCCTCGAAAATAGCCCTTGAATTGAGATTCGTGTTGGGGGTTTTTCAACTTAATTCGGGTTACTGTTATACACAACAAAGTTGTTTTCATTTTAGTAATTATTTGAACAAAATGCATTATAAAAACTGAAAACATGTAGCTGTTCCTCTAAAGAGCGCAGAACACCAAAAACCGAACAAAACTCAATACGTTTTTCATTCAAAGAAAAGGAAATGTTTTCAATTCCTCTCATTACTAAGTAATTCGTTTGCGGATCAGAATTTTTAAATGAGTATGTATTGGACTTTTAAAATTTTGATTTTTTGCTGAAAAGGATTTTTTTTTATTTCTTTATTTTTGTGATTTTTAGCCGTAGGCTAGTTCATCACATCAAGAAAAAAAGGATTTATTTTCTTGATAGGCCGAGTTGAGGGGCGACAATGTAGTGATGCTCGTTAAGAAAATACCCGGAGACACTGTCCATTTTCTGCATTGGTGTTACGGTTTTATAAGACGCAAATAGGAACTCAAGATCATCATACCAAGATAATGGTCGTCGAAATATCGTATAACACATCAGAAATAACATGGAAGACTTTCGAGAGACTAGTAGCTACTAGCAGTGCTGCAGAGAAGGACAACGAGTTCACAAATAGGCACGAATATTGGACAGAAATGTGAAGAAACAGCAAGTTGGTGAGATTGTTTTAATTTTTTTTTAATATTATTCATTTAAACAAAACAATGCTGGAATTTTGAGGGATCATCAGGGCAGGGCACCTGATTGAAGCGTTTTGGATGGAGAGAGTGAAATTGTCAACTCCCTGTTGTTAACATCTCGTGGAAAAAGGGCGGGCTCTTCTCCACACCCATTGAGGTATCCTTCTGTCGGACGGCTCGTTTTTTGACCAATTAACCACTTCATTCGAGCAGTTAAAATGACGTTTACTACCACTCGAACTTTGAAATAAAACATTATTTTGAGATTTTTTCTTCTAGAACCACGAGAAAAGTAGCTAACATTTGTGCGTTTCATAAAAAAATAGAAATTAGTTGGTCCAGTTTTGTGAAATCGCTGGTAGAAAGTCACGCCAAAACTGCTTGACAAAGTGGTCAATTGACCAAATGATTGAAGGAAAAAAACGAGAGATTCTCTATCATCTCGTTTAGGCGTATAGGTGAATTTACCAATAGCTCCACCAAACCCGTTTTTTGGCCCTTCATACAGTGACATGTTGAGGACAGCTTGATCAAATCAAACAGTGAGGAGCAATTTATAATGATATTTTGTACTTGTTAGATACAAGAAAAGGTGGAAAGGCAAGTGTTTGACACATAAAAGCTATCAAACTCGCTTTCAGATAGTTACAATCAGTGATTTTACGACTCGCGAGCGCTCACTCTGAGTGAACGCTCACAAATCATAAAATCGCTGATTGTGTCACTCTTAAAGCAAAATTGACAGGTTTCATGTGTCAAACACATACTTTACAACCTCTTCTTTTAATTTACAAGCACAAAACATCATAATGACATCTAATGATTTTATAATTCTGAAAAACATTTTTTTGTAAAGCCAGTTAGTGGAAGCAACCCTGCATTTATCTACATTATAGTTCTGATTCTAATTACTTGAGGAAACCTTTTTGTATTTCTACACCAAGCAAATGTTTGGTCTCTGAAAATCCTAATAATCATCTTTTGTAAAAAATTTTAAATGTAGGGGAATTTACGTATTCTCGGCAACCTAAGCAGCGACCTTCTTTCTATAGCCTTTTTCTCTAACGAACGCACACATATGCAGTATTGGTTTGTTTACTATCTTTTGCTGCCAGCTGCTCTAACAATTTCAGTCGAAAAAATTGTCAAAAACTGTTTTGAAACGCTTGTACAAAGCTCCAATCTTCTCTAGTGAGAGCGAGTATTGTCGGCAACCAGTTTTTCTTCGGCAACCGTTCCATTTGAACTGCATGTAAATCTGCTGTTCTATTATCGGCAACTCGAAATCAGCTACAATTTGTAGTGCGTGTGTTTCATTTCAAGAAAACCTAGCTAGATTGCTTTTGCTCAGTGTAAAAAATATAGTCAAATTGAAGCTGAAAGCAAAAAGAATCGTTTGCATGCATTCAGCGAAGTGTTTTCGTAAGAAAATCCAGTGAAAATAGTGTTTCAATTTGGGTTGCCGAAAATAGTCTATCATGCCGAAGCCGTCATTTTCCCTACTTGAATTTTCTAAATGCGTTTTGATTACCGAGATCGACATAGGCGTCTGTAAAGTTATAAAAGACATAAGCACATTTAGCCAGTTTGTGTGAAAATTTCTTTATTGTTTTACTCTTTTCAAATCGTGTCGGAATTTATTGTATTTTCCAACATATCTAAAAGTGACAAGTACATAAGTTAGTCGTGTGAAGGGTATATTAGGCGTACTTTTAACGTTGAAACATTTACGCATAGAAGAATTTTTAATCCCCCAAAGTTTGTATCCATACCCGTGGGCCTATTAATCGGTTAGTCGCTATTGCTCTGTTCGGAATTCTAGGTTGTTTGTTTTCGAGCGATGGAAAGAAGCCGCCGTACCGTGAAATCTTCACTGCACTCGTACTAAAAATATCCATCAGTTGGTCATTTACCTATGCTGAAATTTCTCTTCGTGGTGTAAGTGATCAATGAGCATACTTAAATTGAATAGGTACATAGTTGCTCCTAAGTACCACTCGCTAGGTGCAACAAACATATAATTTGTGTGTGCGCACCACTGTGACACAATTTCTAGATGTAACATAATTTTTCTTCCACTAGTCAAATCATACCGACGACCGACGAGCATGAGTAGCACCATGTGTGTAAAGCCTCCTCCTTATCGACGATTTCAGAACGAGCGAATGGAACGCACAAAGCAGAATCCGATAACAAACTCTTCCTCTTTATCTAGTTCAAAGGGCCTTCGGGAGAGAGAGCCAGCCGATAAAAAAAACCTGTCTGGGTGGCTGGAAAGTTGGACTTTGTCACCAGTGCGCAATGTCACCTTCATGCGGGAAGAAATATATATTAGAAGTCTGGACGAAGGCATTTTTGGAACCGAGATTACCGCAGACAAACAAGTTCACATTGAGAAAGATGTTGGTCTAATGTCCCAATCATATGGAAAATCTTCAGATCTCAGAAGCAGCCTACACTCGGAATGCGACATATACAGGCAGACGTACAAATCATCAGTCAGTCCTCACGCACTACTACTCCGCTGCTGTGTGATGGGTATTGCGCAATCGCGTGAACTGCGTGTGTGCGATGGGACGTGACTGTTCGCCAGGCTGCAATGGTCACCATTTGTTGTTCCTTGATACGAAAAAAAAACACTGTAAACATTTTCACTTTCATTACCCGTTTCTGTATGTAGGAGGAATGGCTGCAGTTTTTCATCAACAGCGGAAGCATTGTACTGACTTTCATTCGCAAATGCCGGAATGAAGGAAGCCAGTATTGCATGCAGTTACAAATAGATAGCATGAAAACATATATCGGCGAGCTGAAAATAAGGTCACAAAACAAACGGAACTGATCCGGGAGCACTCACCTCGATACTTTCTTCAGTCTTAGCTGCATCTTGCTGTTGTAGTCACGACTGGTTTTCTGGTTCTGGTTCTCTCGCATGGTCATGTAATCTGAGTTCACTTCACTGCTCTTTGAGATGGCCCGGACATGCTGGATCTGAACGGGAGTCTCTGCCGACCGTGCCAGCTGACGGCCGATGGTCTGCAGGGGGCCAGCTTTAATCAATGTGGACAACATTTTTCACAATTTATATAACAATTTTCGCAATCCGCTTTCTCAAAAGTTGTTCATTCACGACACGAGGCTGTCTAGCGAAATTGTTCCCAATTTTTAACAAACTCCTTCACTCATGCTACTTTCTATAGGTCTCTCACGGCTGGCTCGATAACAAACTCGCTACTGATTTGTGCACAGGTCAAGTCAGCTGAATTAATAACTTGAAGTTATGTTTTCTTCTTTTAAATAAATACAACACCTTGGAGACAGAAACGGATTTGCTGGCTATGATTGACACCTTCGTTTAACACTCTTCTTTTCTCCGGCAAAATTGGTCTATTGATCAATTGAGTACACTGAAACCTGCTTTTATAGGTGAGGTCGAACCACACAGTAAAATCTGCGACTTTTCGTAACGACGAGTTGAAAACAACTGTGCCTATGCCGCCCGGATCACGGATGGTTTTACGTCGCGTCGACAGGCTGTGGATGGAGAATGGAATAAACACAAATAAATGAAATGGGAAAACTATTTTTAGAAAGAGAAGTGGGGCTGAACGGCCAAGGAAATGCGTACAGCTGAAGAGTGAATTGTACTCTAGAGGCAATAACCTTTAACTCCAACGCAGGTAACGGCTGTAAATAAATTAATTACATTAACTACTGCTTTAATTACATTAATTACACAATGTAGAACATTAACTACTTTTTAACTCCATTAATTACAGTTGAATTTTTTTAATTAAACTCATTAATTACATTACAATACTTGTAATTACATTAATTACCGATAGATAATTTTAATTACCGTCAGTACTACATACTTTAAAACGCATTAATTACGTTAAGTACTTTTGATTGCATTTTAACTTCAACGCACCGGTTCTTTGTCAAAGAGAAAAAAAGAGATTCCATAACCGATTTGCGACATGTTACTTCTAATTAAGATCCACTAGTGTACTACTGTGACCGGGTGTTCTAACTTTTAAACCATAACCTCATTCTGAAAAATTGCTTTAAAATGAGAACGGTAAGTGATAGAATTTTTTTCCTCGGCAAGGTTGCTTAAAATTAACTCAGCTACAATTTTGACAAAATGCATTTTTCTCATCCATTAATTTGAGGCTACCCTAAATTTAAAAATGGCCAAAATAATAAAAAAAAAAAGATTTATGCCAACAAACTTCACAGAAGACATCAAACGTCTAAGGGCCCATGCATTAATTATATCACGTTAAATCGAGCAAAAAATTACCCCCTCCCCCCCCTAACGTGACGTTTTTCCTATACCTAATGCATTGCTTGTCACAAAATCTTAGACCCTCCTCCCCCCTTAGAGCGTGACATAATATATGCATCAACCCATAACTGAAATCAAAGACGCTTGAACTTTTGTCTTCTTAAATTCACAACCTGGACCATTATTGCAAATTACGGCATGTATGATCCAATCGGATTCATGTCTGTGAGCTTTAACCACCCTAATATACAAATACAATAAACGAACTGTATCCCGGATGGGTAAACTATCCCACAAATGGTTTGGATGATACTCAAAACACGTCGTCAAGCTCTCTTTTATGATTATTTTTACTATGGCGTTTCTACGACTACATACTTCGATTTAAACATTTCTACGGTTGCCTTTCGTAACCGAATTCGTCGAAGGCTGCTTGAGCATGAGCATGATTGACCATGTGCGGTTACTACTCTGTTATTTTCAGATCAGCTGTAATAATACAGAGAACCATAGATGATGATTGGGATTTAACATACATCCGAGGTTTTCCGTCGATCTTGTTTTTCGTACTGAGCACCAATGCTACCGACGCCAGGGAGGCAGCTCCCACACCTGGACCCTACCTATCGACCCATCAACTCATGAACCGGAGACCAACGGCTTTACTTCCCTGGGATTGAACACAACCAGTCGAGGTCGGTGGGATTTTTCTGAGGCATAACAATCTCTGGTCACGTCTTCCTTCGGAAGGTTAGTAAAGCCGTTGGTCCCGGCCCATGTGTGTTGAATGGGTGCGATATCCTACGCAGCTATGGAAGCTGCCTTCCTGCACATTCGATTGTCGTCAATGGATGGCAATCGATGTCCGTAGTCCGAAGTACTTTCGTTTATCTCCTGCCATCCGGTGATGCGTTCGAATAATGCGTCCTAGTCGCATGACCAGCCGGATGTTCACCTTTAGTTACGTTTTTTAAAGTGTTGGCGGAGTAATTTAATTCTGCAAGCAGCAACACATGTATTTTTGAGTACAACACATAAATCAATTACAAATTACCTGTGAACAGCTCGACTGGCAAATTAAGTTTCTTCAAAACTACGTCCGCAAGCTTATTTGTATCCTCAACTAGCGCTATGTTCTTTCCGGCTGGTCACGTATTTTGTTTATGTTTTCACTTCTGATTTTTATGCAGGACGTATTGAATTCCATATCAGTGCACTTTAAATTCAATCTACGCATAATGTTTCTTAAAACTACCGCTCATACTTTTCATTATAACACACCAAAGACATGTTTTTATTTTTCCTCTTTGTCTACCCTGACCTTTCACCATTCAATTAGTAGCGCTCCGCCACCCGGCCAGCTGCGCTAGTCCTATTGTCTATTTTCGCGAAATCCCAATAAATCCCACTATGACTTAAACGACCAACTAGTCCACTCCAGAATCATCAACAATAACGACAAATTCTCATCATGCTTTTTGGAAAAGAAATTTAAAAAATATAAAAAATTGACGTGAGAAAAAATCTTGTCCGTTTACGAGCACAGCACACTTAGTTTTTTTTTTTTGTTTTGAGGTTTTCGAAGTCCGTGCAAAATAAACCTCAATGTTTCGGCACTAGTTGGAAACTAGTCTTTTGGAGCCAGACTTTCTCCGAAAAAATCTCAACAATTGGTAATGTTTTCGAACACAGGCAAAAATTTGTTTCGAGAAGAAGAATTATATCATTTGTACCATCTTTGGAGGCGTATAACAAGAAAAAGTCGATAGTGAAGGATAATTTTATTTCAGGGTATGATTGCGTATCTCTTGTAGATGTTTCTAGGGGTATCCGATGTTTGATGTCATCAGGAAGCGGGAATTGCCTATAATGGGGAAAAAGTTCGAGTCGTGTCACAAACCCATGTAATCGTTCGCAAATGTCTAAAAAGCATTTATTAACTTTAAACAATCATAAATGGAGCAAAATGTGCCAATGAGCGGTGGGGAAAAAGTTCGTTTTTAATACTCTTCCGAAAACAGTCCTATGGTGGTGACAACATGATGGTATGATCATTTTAACAATACGGTACAATTACAATGGAATTATTTGAAAACTACAGAATTTATTGTATTTTATTGATATGTTATTGTAATTTAATAGCTATTATTATCCGGAAAAATAACTCAAAATGCATAAGAAAGCTAAAATGTGCAGGCATTCTTATGATGACCATATCACCCCACAATCTTTTTATTTACATGTGCTACGTGACGGATTGCAAGTGTATGAGAAACAGATGATGTTATTCGTTACCGATGTGGCACCAACACTATTCACTCTTGCATACGGATCTGTACCTCCTACTACACATATGTATAGATTTCCAATCCAAAAACAAATTATATTAGCTGAATTCGAATGAATTTCTGATACAAATTCAATTAACATACTTGAAATATTGTATCTTTGTGAAGTTATACCATTTTCTAGCAAAAAATTATTAATATTAATAAATAATGAAACAGGGATTTCATTCTTATGATTCCACGCAATAACAAATTCTTGATAGTAGTTGTGTGTCAGACTCTCCGTTATTTACTTCCAGCTCAGTTTGTTTTGTTCGGGAAATTCATTATATTATATACATAAAACAGAGGAATGGCAAAGGGAAGTTCCAATAACATTGCTCTAATGTCGTTTTCGTTTTTGGGGTATAGCATCGATGTAGTGTAAGCGTCAACAACAGCTCAACATCATTTGTTTGTAAACAAAGGTGAACCAGATATTTACACTCTGAATAATGTTGGTGTACGGCGGTGCAGTTTAGGGTGTAGCTACACCGCATAAACGAAGTTGACTGAACAAAAGAATGTTCAAGAATAGAAAATGCTCTAATATCCGGTAGTGATAACAAATCTTTAACAACTTCTCAGCACTGAGGATCGAATATTGATAGCTATGTGTGAAAATTTAAATTTTGTTGACTGCTAAAGACGTCATTCGGTATCACCTTATTTTTTCCGGTAAAACAGATATTTTCGAAGGCCATAATTGATAAAATCCATGAGCATATGCATATCATATCGTCAGAATGTACATTAAATGTTATCAAATTTAAGGTTGCCGCTTTCATGAGAAAAGTAACCATTATAGGAGTGCATTGTGTCCATTGACGTTGGTAAATACCTGCATACAGTTGGCGAACGGTACGCAGTGCGAGAAAAACATACTCGCTCGATAGCGATGATGTTGGCTTATTTTCAATCCTTCATTCCAGAGGCACTATGTAATCACGTAGGCCGCATACTGCTCGACAGAGTCTCATCCGTAACATCAGTTTGGATATTTCTCGATTAATTTTTCGAAGGGACATTATTAACTTTTGTAAACAATGCATTTGATCGTAGGTTTGGCGTAACCGGTAGCTCACGCATACTAACACCGCTATCAGGTAGGGGAAAATTTCCCCTATCTAATGGTAGTGCTATTATGCGTGGGCGAGCTACCGTTTACTCCAAATCGACGACCAAATGCATTGTTTACAAAAGCTGATACGTACCTTCGAAAATGTAATCTGGTTCATATTTATCATACATTATTCAAGCTGCTTTACGTCTTCGCTACCTATTATCGTCTCATCCTTGAGCGTTCAAGGACTTAATTAACCCACTGACTATAATAATGCATGGACTAATAAGAAATGGAACAATGCCAATTGTGCGTATGTTAGGTTAAGATCAACCAATTAAAGAATCGTCTCTACTTGGACTTTATTTATATGATTAGAAAAATAAATAAATAAAAAATATATACAATTGTATACCTGATCAACGTCACCGATTTCCACCAAACTTTTCCAAAAAGTTATTACAATATTCTAAGAAATCGTCATTATGGATTTTGCTCTTAAGGGACCATCCATAAATGACGTAGCATATTTTTGACCAATTTTAAAGCCCCTCATCCCTCGTTGCGGTTTTTTGCTATACCTAGTACAAGGCCGGTCACAACTTATGATAACCCCCTCCCCCTGAACTG